CTTTACTGGAATCTGGCCTTTGTTGTTTCCCAAACATCATTTTATCGAAGTTAACTGCACACTTCCTTGGTAGTAAATAGTCCAATCCTAATGTGCATTGGTCTTCAATGTCAGCTAAGTATACTTTCTGTCTGTTCTTCATGCCCATAAGCTCAATAGTTACCCACACTGGTCCCCACAACCATGCATAATGTCCTGTCACACCACAGAGCTTCTGTACAGCTTCTGGTACTCCTTTGTGATCCAACACCTTGATACTCACAAGCATTTGCTGAGATGCAGAATCTATGACAAAGTTGCACCTTTGGCCATCCAGCTTCCCTGTCACATAGACACTATGTGTGCTTGGCGTTATACACATAGCTGTTGGGACTTTCATGATAGGGGTTGGTGGGTGTCCCTTAACACCAACCACTACTGGTTTCCCGAAGCTGACTTATTGGTGGTATTCTTCTTACACTGGCTCCTCATATGTCCTTGCTTTCCACAGTTCCAACAGCCTTTCTGTGTAGCAGCCTTTCCTGCTGTATCATCTCCCCTGTGTTGAAGTTGCCAGCATTGAACTCTTTTGTGCCCAGGTTTGTTACAGTGCCAGCAAAGCCCCTCAAACTTCTCTGACAGCTGACCTTTTCTGGCCTTGAATCCTGACGACTGTACCAACCTTGGTACCTCTGTGCTGAACTTAGCGTAGGATTCGAATTCAAGAGCTCTGGTCATTGCATCCTGCATAGTAGAGGGATGTTCTTGCTTAACTTGTATCTTTAGTTGTGGACTGTCCAAGGCATCTATGAACTGATCCCTCAGCAACAACTTGACGAGATCCAGTGGTGCAGTTGGGTAGGCCTTGTATGTCATACTTTCCAAGTCCTGTGCCAGCTTTTGCAGGCTCTCCCCTTTAGCACGGACTCTCATCCTAAACCTAGCCCTGTAGACTTCAGACTGATTTTGGGTTCTGTACCTGAGTTCTAGAGCTGCTACCAGTGCTCTATAGTTGTGCCTGTCGTCTACTGACAACTGTCCAAGTATTTTCAGTGGTTGTCCCTTCAAGCTTGTTGCCAGATATACTGCTTTCTGCTCCTCTGTCCATCCATTCATTTCTGCCAGTAGCTCAAATTGTGCTCTATATGCTTCTCACAGTGCCCTCCCATCGAATTCCTGTGGCTTCCTTCGTACTGGATCACCCCTATTGTTGATATTCATATCTGGGATGAATTTTAAATTTACTAATGTTTTCCATTTGTACTTCTTGCCACTGTTGTTGACTTTCCTTTAATTGCTGCTGACTTTCCTGTAGTTGCTGCTGACTTTCCTGCAACTGTTGGAGACTTTCTTCCTGTTTCCTTTCTTGTTCCTGTTGCCACTGCTGTTGTCTCTCTTCTTGTTTCTTTTCTTTTTCCTCCAAGAACTGCTGTAATTTCTCTTCTTATTTCTTTTCTTTTTCCTCCAACAACTACTGTAATCTCTCTGCTTGTTTCTTTTCTCGTTCCTCCTGTTTCTTTTCTTTTTCCTCTAACATCTGCTGTAATCTTTCTTCTTGTTTCTTTTCTTTTGCCTCCAAGAACTGTTGTAATTTCTCTTCTTGTTTCTCTTCTCGTTCTTCTTGTTTCTTTTGCTGTTCTTGTATTGCTGCCATCAAATATGCTAAGCTGTAGTTTGATTTGCCGCTTCTCGTTTCTGTTTCTTTTTATCCTATTTCTGACACCAATTTGTTATGTCTCTGTATGTTTGTTTGTTAATTTTTCTATGATACAAGTCCGTTCTTAAATAAAACTTGTTTATTCTTCCTCAATACAACTTTGCAATACACTTAATTTTCACAGTTACACACACTATAGTACACAACAATTCACTCACTTCCTACCGCGCTTGACTCAATTGTCCATCACTATCTCCGCCTGTCAGCAACTATAGTTCCGATCTCTGTATCTGCTATCCTCAGTTCCCGCTGACCATAACTGCTGTCCTTGGTTTCCCACTCACTCTCTTTCTCCCCTTTGTCTAGCGCACTTACATACGATAATACCGCCTCTTCTAGAATCTTCTAGGCTCTCAACACGTGCTACCAGCGTCACTTGACTTCCGCTGTCGTAACACACTAACGTTTATCATTAATCTTCTAGAATACTTGTCACATGACCCCCACTGTCATAACAATAACATAATCAAGTTACTAGGCTGTTATTATTTGTTCTTGCATGGTACTGATGTATCTTTATTTACTGTCTTTTTCCTTTGAAATTTTATATTTTACTGTTTAAACTTAACTATTACTTTTCTGAGACTATCCCACCACAAATAACTGTCACTCTTTTAAAGTAATTATTTTTCTGTATACTGTCTGTTCTCTTAGATTACTTCAACGTTTTTTTTATTGTATCTTACCCCCATGAACATTATATGGCCATTTGCTAAAGCTAGATTATGAATGCTCATTTACTTCAATAAAGTTTTGGACTAATTTTTTTTATCTTATTTGAACTTATGCCTATTGTATATCTATTGCATATCCATATTGTTGCATCAGTGAGGTCACATGACTAGTATCACGCCACCTGTTTTCTAGAAATATCCTGTTCCTTCAAGAATGCCCTAGCATTTACTAGATATGGGGGTAGTCTGGTATATATAAGATGGTCAC